ATTTATAGGTGACGGTGTGTTTATGGTTATTGATTATAGATCATAATATGTTTCAGGGAGAAAAGGGTCGATCTCTTCCGGGACAGAAAGGAGACGAGGTACAAACATTTCATTCTGGAGAACGATTTACTTTTCACTCTCTAAGTTCAACTTTAGCAGTAGTACTCTGCTGTGGTAGTATTGCAGTACTGTGTGGTACTGTGGTAGTATTGCAGTACTGCGTGTTGTCCATAGGGGGATCAGGGCCTCCAGGGGCCACCGGGGCCGTTTGAGTACGTCGACCCTCCAGAAGACCTGTACATTAAAGGAGAACAGGTGGGTGGGGCTTCAGCTGGCTACAGCCAATCAGATCGCAGCTTCATACTGTTCTACTGCAGTTCCACTGTGGTTATATTCGGTTCTACTGTAGTTCTACTGTTAATGTCCTGAAACTCTTTTACAACTGCAGATGTAATGTTTGTGTGTCCTTGTTCTACTGTGGTTCTACTGTGGTTCTACTGTACTTAGTCAACTGATCTGCTGTAGTTCTGGTTCTGTTGGTTCTAATGTTGGGTTTTGTTGGTTCTTCAGGGTACTCAGGGGCTTAAAGGAGTCTGTGGAAGGCAGGGACTGCCGGTAAGTTCAGATATCTGATCAAACCTCTGGAACATATGCCCAAAGGAACACTGGGTTCTTCTGAATAAAAGTTTCTCTTGAGCACAGGGTGCTACTGAAAACAAGGTTCTCCGAACACAGGGTTCTGCAAAATACTGGGTTCTAATGATCGCAGAGTTCTATTGAACTCAAGGTTCTCCTGAACATGAGGTTCTAATGAATGGAGTGTTCTAATAAACACTGGGTTCTAATGAACGGAGAGTTCTAATAAACACTGGGTTCTAATGAAATCAAGGTTGTCCTGAACACAGAGATCTCTTGAGTTCAAGGTTGTCCTTAACACAGGGTTCTCTTGAACATAGGGTTCTAATGAACATAGAGTTCTAATGATCACAGAGTTGTAACAAACACTGGGTTCTAATGAAATCAAGGTTCTCCTAAACAAAAAATTCTCTGGAACACAGGGTTCTATTGAACACATGGTTCTCCTGAACACTGATGATGTTTGTGGTTTCAGGGTTTGGACCCTCTCACAGGGCTCAAAGGAGAGAAAGGCATTGTGGGACTTCCTGGTCCCAGGGTGAGTAATCCTCCGTCTTCACCTTGTTGATCAGTGTTGAGTCAGATTACAGAGTGAACCTGATCGTCCTGATTAGAACATGAACTCTTTATATTCAGTCTGATGTGTTTGTTCTCAGGGATTTTCTGGTAACCCTGGTCTGCCCGGGGACAGAGGATTCAAGGTGAGTTCACAAAAGCTGCTCTAATAATAATTAAACTTATACAACTTCATGAAAGTTAAATTATAGACCTGTCAGCTGATCAGAAACTGGGATTTTCCCTGTTTTTTCAGGGGATCCGAGGAAGTCCAGGTCTCCCGGGTCTGATTGGACGAGAGGGTCCCATGGTCAGTTTGTCTGTGATGTATCTCTGCCGAACCAATCACGAGCAGGGATGGAATGAACAGCGGCTCCTCTGATTGGTCGCTTTGAATACAGACCAAAGCAGTGGCGGGCCGTGCATTTTATACCTGGGCCTTCACTGTTGTCCTGCAGCTGAAATACCACCTTATAACCACATGATGGCGCCACACATATTAGTTTCTAAGGCTGTAACTATGTACATATTAAACCGTTCGGTACGAGGCTTACAAGACGTTTGATTAGTACTAAAGCATTTGGAAAATGCAGAAGCTTACATTCAGGATAATATATATATAATGTTTTATAATGTTTTCTGCGCTCATGGAGGACAGCGGTTCTCAGCTGGTCTGGCTGTGGGACCCACCATTGCTCCTTAATGACAAGTCACAGCCCAAAGAGATTGTCTTATGATTTTACTTTCACAACTTGAACATTGTACGTACTGCTCTGCAACGTCTTTCCTCGTCTCAGTCCCCTGCCTCATGGTGCATCTTACTCAGTCAGAATGGCCATATTTGATTGGCTGAGCTGCATCACGTGATGTGATTCACTACCCGACATGCGCCTGCTGTTAAGCTTCGTTTCACGATAGTCACGTGCTCACCCACTGACCAATCACAGCACACTCTGCACCTCGCGGCAGAGCTGCACATGGACACTGAGCTGCACGTAATGCTGACGTAGCTATAGGCTGGCTAGCAGGCTCTGACACGTCAAAGAATACACCTAACATGTCAAACTAAAGATCTGATTGGTTGAACACTGACAATCAACAATATCGTCCCCATTCACTTAAACTGCACATGGATTCACTTGTGAGTCTGCAGGCCTCTGCCTCTGTTCTTACCTAGAGACACAGAGGTGAGATCTGATTGGATAAAAGCTCTACTTAAAACAAGCTGCACTGGAAGCAGAGCAACTGAGGAAGACAGTAGCTGTGTAATGAGAACATAAGATAATGGGAAAAATATTTTTATAAATTATAATACATGTAGTGTATTTAAGAACAATTATTAAATTATAAAATAGATATAACTTTGTGATTCTGTTTAGGCCAGCAGAGAAGGCCTTGCAGGCCCTGACGGCCCACCACTGGACCAAAGAGACATGCTATAATAATTGGTTAGTATCCATTAATGAACCTGTGTGTTTTCCCAGGGCATGCTGGGAGATCCAGGTCCTAAAGGCCTCCCTCAGGATGTGGAAGTCACGCACTCAGGTTCGGATCATTACACACCGATTGATCAGCTGACTGGTGTCATCACGGTGGTCTGATGTCAGCTGACTGACGGGAAACCTCACCTGGCCCGGACACGGAAAGGATTGACAGATTGATAGCTCTTTCTCATCTTCCAGGTGACGTTGGAGACCTCGGGGCTCCTGGACTGAGGGGCCCTCCGGGAGACATCGGGCTGATGGGAATGCACGGCCCCCCCGGAGCCCCTGGTAGATCCACACCAGGTCGGTACCTGCAGCACATTTACAAGCTTCATCCATATTTTAAGGTGGTATGACGATGAATAAAGTTCTCTGTCGTTCCTCTTCAGGTCCGTCGGGTGTTGTGGGTCAGAGGGGAGTTCCGGGATCCAGAGGGGAAAAAGGAGATCCAGGTCAGGTGTATAGAGGCGGACCCACACCCGGAGAACCTGGAAAACCAGGACGTCCCGGACCCAGGGGACTGAAAGGAGAACAGGGGAGTCCAGGTACCAAGGAACACAGTTCTTCTCCCTGTTGGTGTCGCACCTGTGGTTTTACACCTGTGCTCTGTCAGAAACACCTGATGATGTCTTCATCTAAAGTTATTTAAATCTGTTGAGTGAAGTTATTATCGTGTTATAATATTTAATAATCAGTAGCGGTCACTTCCTGTTGTCGTCCTGCTGACTCCCTGTTTTCTCTTAAAGGTAGTTACTGTCTTCCCGGAGCCCCCGGAGAGTCTGGATGTCCAGGTGATCCGGGGCCCCCGGGGGCCCAAGGCTTCCTAGGGTTCCAAGGTTAGTATCTAGACATTACTGACTGATTGATTGTTAGTTTTAATTGTGTGAGGTGTCATCCCTGTCATCAGGTTTAATAGAAAGAACAGAGGCTCCAGGATGTTCCCCTGTCGGAACCCCACATGTTTTACATCTACCTGTGTGTGTGTGTTTCAGGTAGCCCTGGCGACTGTTCTTGTGGCCCCCCAGTTGTGCTGAGGGGCCCCCCTGGCAGTGTGGGTGACCCGGGGTCTCCAGGGTTTCCAGGACCTCCAGGGGCCCAAGGGCCGAGAGGAGAGGGAGGTTTTCCTGGAGACACAGGAGAACGCGGACAACAGGTGAGTCGCCGGACAACAGGGGTCAGGGGTCATAGGTCAGCAGCGAGATGAATTGTAATTTGTGTAATTTACTGGTTGATTTACTGGTTGATTTACTGGTTGATGGTTTTGTTGGCAGGGTCTGGGTGGATTTCCAGGTGTCAAAGGGTTCAAAGGTCAAAAGGGAGATTTCACTGTGGTGGATTTTCAAGGTGAGTTTGATCATTAAATACTTACTTTACTCACCTGTCTGAAGAGTTTTGTGGAAAAGACTTTAGCCATGATGTCCTGTCGGTGTTGAAATGGTTCTGATTGGACTGTTTTTGTCTCCAGGTGAGAAAGGAAACCGGGGCCAGCGGGGCCCTGTAGGCAGACAAGGATTCTCAGGGAGAAGAGGACTCGATGGGCCCCTGGGGGCCCCTGGAAACCCCGGCCCCAAGGTCAGTCAGACTTTGAAAACCTTGAAGACCAACAGGACGCTAGTATAGTTGGATTGCCGCTGTAATGAACTCTGCAGCCTGTAGCGGGTGCTGACTTCACTTTACTCTGTTACTGCTGATGATGTTCTGACTTTTCTAATCTTTAGATCACTTCTCTGTTTCTTTTCAGGGAGAAAGTTTTGCCAGTTGTCCCGGAGAAAGAGGCCTCCCTGGACTTCCAGGGCTAAAGGGCTCATCAGGACCTTCAGGCCCCGATGGACGAGGTGTAGTTGGAGCAGTAGGACAACGTGGGGAACCTGGGGACCCGGGACCTGAAGGATTCCCTGGCCCCCCAGGACCGAAGGGGGTTAGAGGTATGGAGATCAATCTGAATTTAACTTTTAATTAATTGTAAAATCTGCAAAAAACAACAACTCGTTACAACAATTTCATTACGTCTCCCAAAACTCCAACTCTGACTCCTCGCACGTCACATTTGACCCCTCCCACTCCCACTGACTCCTCCTCTTCCTGTTTGACTCCTCTTTCTGCAGGGGACAATCTGCCCTGTGTGCCCAGAAACCCTGGTGCCCCCGGAGAGAAAGGAGACACTGGAGATGCAGGTAAACACCATCTACAACACCTGGCTGTCTGCTCACCTGTCTGTCTGACACCCTGTTAACCTGTTTGTCTGATGTGCTGCTCACCTGTCTGTCTCTCCAGGTTACAGAGGACTGCCGGGTCCTCCAGGTTTTCGTGGCATCACTGGACCTGATGGACCTAAAGGGGACAGAGGCCGACCTGGACTGCCTGGACCACTTGGACGACAAGGTACCGGAGTGCACCTGTACCACACCAACATCTCTACCACACCTGTACAACACCAACATCTCTACCACACCTGTACCACACCAACATCTCTACCACACCAACATCCATACCACACCTGTACCACACCAACATCCGTACCACACCTGTACCACACATGTACCACACCAACATATGTACCACACCAACATATGTACCACATCTCTACCACACATGTACCACACCAACATCTGTACCACACCAACATCTCTACCACACCAACATATGTACCACACCTGTTCCACACATGTACAACACCAACATCTGTACCACACCAACATCTCTACCACACCAACATATGTACCACACCTGTACCACACATGTACCACACCAACATCTCTACCACACCAACATATGTACCACATCTCTACCACACATGTACCACACCAACATCTCTACCACACCAACATATGTACCACATCTGTACCACACCTGTACCACACCAACATCTGTACCACACCAACATATGTACCACATCTGTACCACACCTTTTCTTTACATTGTCCTTGTCTTTACATACATCCTCTCCTCCTGCAGGGCCTCCAGGTTTTGTTGGTGATACCGGAGAAGAAGGACCTGAAGGCATCAGTTTTGGTGGAGATCCAGGTAGAGTCACCTGTCCGTCTGTAATATGACCCACACTGTCATTGTCTGCTGACCCTCTTTATGAATCAAACGTAGTTACTTTGAATGTGGCTCCAGAAGATTCAGATGGTTTGGATAAATCATAAAAAGCCAGTATAGTCATTATCAGCTGTGTTGTCATTATGTTTACCAGGTTCCCCGGGGCTCCCAGGCTCTTCTGGACTCAGGGGCCCAGCGGGAGACTCTGATGTCGGGCCCTCAGGACCCATTGGCTTTCCGGGACGACCGGGCTCTCAGGGACCTAAAGGAGTTCCTGGCCCCCCCGGCATCAACGGACTAAAAGGTGAAGTACTGGACCTGAATATCAATAGATCAATAGAATCAGACTACAACAGGATTTTATTTAAAATAAAGTCAAATTTCCCAGAAATGTAAATTTATATATTGAGAATTATTTCCTGTGTTTGTCCAGGACTCATGGGTCTGGCTGGGGGCCCCGGAGTGCAGGGCCAGAGAGGACAGGATGGGGCCCCAGGTATGGCTGGCCCCCAGGGGCCCACACCTGACTTTTGTGATGCAGGGAAACCTGGTCCCATGGGCCTTTTTGGCCCTCAAGGACCCATAGGACCCCCAGGTAAACTCTGGCTCCTAAGGATGCTCACTTTACTTTACTTTACTTTACTTTACTTCACTGTAGTTTACTTTACTTTACTTTACTTTACTTTACTTCACTTCATTGTACTGTATTTTAAATTTATTTTATTTTATTTCATTTCATTTCATTTTATTTTATTTTATTATTTCATTTTTTTCATTTTTTTCATTAATTCTTAGTTTATTGTATCCAACGGTCTCACTGAGTTTTCTGTTGTTATTATTGTCTTGTTTTCACTGCTTTGACTGTCAAAGCACTTTGTGAACTTTTTAAAGGTGCTATATAAATAAAGTTATTGTCATTATTATTATTCAATGTACTTTACTTCAATGTACTTAACTTCACTTCCTTTATTATATTTGACTTTACTCTACCTAACGTCACCGTACTGTACTCCATCATATTTGTGTTCAGCTTTTTATGGGGAGAAAGGTGAGATTGGACAGGAGGGTCTGCCAGGTTTTGGCCCTCAAGGCCCTCAAGGTAAACCAGGCTCTTCAGGTTTCCCAGGGTACCCGGGGCCCCAGGGCCCCACTGGTCCCGTCGGCGACTCCGGACTGCCGGGGCTCGACGGTCGGAAAGGTGCCTCCCACCAACACACCTGAGTTTAAATGTTTCCTGATTACAGGTTCACAGGAAATACTAACCGTCTTACTATATCAGGTCTGATGGGGCCGTGGGGCCAGGGCGGAGGGCCAGGGGCCCCTGGACGGACTGGGGCCCTCGGTGCCCCGGGGAGGGCCGGGGAGAGAGGATCCAATGGACGAGACGGAGGTCCAGGATGTGAGAGCCAGAAAGGAGAGAAAGGTACTACTACAGAACTATTATAGTACCGCTATAGTACTACTACTGTACTGTGATATACTACCAGCTCTGCTCCCAGTAGACAACACAACACATCTGTGCAATATAAATGTGTTCTGTCTGTATATATAATATTTTAGTTATTGTTTATTGTTTTGCTCTTGTTTTTTTACTATGTCTCTTGTTTGCACTACACTGTATATATATACGTATATATATAAACGTGTACTGTGTATATATATATATATATATATATACTCCACTATACTGCTGTAATCCTGTATATTTCCCCACTGCGGGACTAATAAAGGATTATTTTATGCTATCCTGCAGGCTTTAAAGGGGCCCTGGGGCCTCCAGGAGAGACCACGGTTGTCCCCATCAAAGGAGACCGAGGGAAAGAAGGACCGCCGGGCATCAACGGCTTTCCTGGACCACGAGGTCAGAGCTGTTACCATAGAGACCAGTGTCAGGGTGTGATGTCACACAGGAAATGGCAGGGTCACGACCTTTTTAGATCGAGAGGTTCAGTGCTGAGTTCAGGTACTCTGTGAAAGTTGGACGCACCTCTTTGCCTCCACACTAAACACCTAGAAGTTGTGATTTGTGGACGGAATGAAGCCTCGAATTTGGCGTTCTGGCCATCTTGTTTGCTTTGCAACCAGTGAACAGGAAGTGACCATATCTGGACTGAGGAGGAGTGACGTAGAGATGTCTTATACGTCTCTGGTAGAGACCTGTCAATCACTGTGTAGCCCCGCCCTAAAACATCCCCTGCTTTATGGTCTGTTTGACTCTAAATGGACCATAATGTACTAAATGAACATCATGCTGTATTGAAGAAGACTTGAAACTCGAGATTGAGACCATAAACTCATGTTTACAATGTTTACTGAGGTAATAAATCAAGAGAGAAGTAGAGTCATTTTCTCATAGACTTCTATACAACCAGAGGAGTCGCCCCCTGGTGGACACTAGAGAGAATGCAGCTTTAACACATGAAGCTCTGACTTGAGGTTCCTGCCTGAGTAGGTGATAGACTTTATCAGAGTCGGATTTTAGAGATTTGTTCGGCCCACAGAAGCCAATGATAACAATGATACCAGCAGAACTGTGGACAAACTGAACCCCATAACAAACTAGTCTGTAATGCTGAAAGTTGACTTTTCCCATGATGTCGTGCGTGTCTCTGTGACACAGCTACGTGATTGGATTTAACATTAAATTCACTCTCTACAGGAAGTGAAGGTGTGCGAGGCGCTGCCAGCAAGCCGGGGTATCCAGGCATCAACGGACCCACAGGCATCGTCGGACCCACAGGACCCTCTGCGCCCTACGGACCACCAGGACCTCCGGGATCACCTGGACAATCAGGACCACCAGGATTCATCGGCTTCCCAGGGGTGACCGGAGATCTGGTAAGACAGAAGACTTTTTAGCTTTAATAAAAGCTCAATCAAATGTGAACCATGAAGCTACTAAAAGAATGTTCAGAATGTTTGTTTGCGATATATTCAGAACTATTAATCTATTTCGGTTGCAGGGTGACCTGGGATGTCCTGGAAAAGTTGGAGAACCCGGTCGCCAAGGATGTGCTGGATCCAAAGGTATCAACTAACCCCGGACCCTACCCCTCACCAAGACCTTTTTTTTATAAGTCTTGATTGGGAGGGTAGGGTCCTTTCATACATGAAATACAGAGAAAACCAAGGATTTTATCTCGATGTGTAACGTTTCTTTTTTGCGTTTCAGGTGATAAAGGAGACTCCGTTGGTTTTCCTGGTCCATCTGGAGACCACGGGCCTCCTGGAGACTTCGGGCCCTCAGGTGATGATCTGGTTCTGATTCAGCTGCACTCACTAAAACACCAGATGTTTTAATGTTAAATTTGACTGAGTTTCTGGATGAATCAACTGTTTGTCTCTCTCAGGACCTCCTGGACCTCAAGGAGATCCAGGTGGACCCGGTTTCATCGGGTTTCCAGGACAGAGAGGATGCAAAGGAGATCCAGGCGATCACGGGGAACTGGACCCATCAGGTACAGAAGCTCACCTGTGGACCTTCCTCAAGTCTTTATACCTTCTTTCTGTAACATGAAATCATGTGACCTGCTGCCATCCAAAACCAGTAAAGACCAGCAGCTGTTCGGTCAGACTGGGAGCAGAATGGTTCCATTTATTTAGACTCTTTTTAACATTCACCAGAGGGGCGTTTACTGACCTGTTTTATATCAGACAACTAAGCGCTGGTGTTAAAGACAGACCTGATTTCAGACTTCTAAACTAAAACACATTCAGAAGACACATTGACTTCTAGAGGAGGGAACAGGAAGTAGAATGTGCTGACTCATATCTCTCTATCTGTCTGTCTGGTTTATTCCAGGTGTGGTCGGTCCCCCGGGTCCCAGAGGCCGTTCGGGTTTTCCAGGTCTTCCTGGTAAAGCCGGTGGTGATGGTCCTCCAGGACCTCCAGGCTTCCCGGGACTCCCAGGTCAGAACTGAACCCCATTTTTATCATTATACCTACCTGACATATTTCAGAGTACATGTGAGTGAGTTGGTTCAAAATAGTTTACGCTTTGTTTATTTTTTATGAATGGTTTTGGTGCGTCAGGTCCTCCTGGACCGCTCGGCCTTCACGGACTGGACGGATTGAAAGGAGTGAAGGGGGACATGGGGACCAGAGGTATGAGTCTCTGTGCTGTTAGGGGTTGGATTACTTTTCAAATGTAAATCTCTCTGCCAATCGTCTGCATCGACGTGTGTCATGTGTTGTGAGTAAACACGCAATGCCTGCTGGGAAACAGGAAGAGAAAACAGGATAGCCGTCTGTGTTCCGTTAGCGCGGCGAGGTTGGCCCAAACATCTAAACTTGACAACAGTCCAGAACTTTGAGGTTGAAGTTTTGGTCTTTTTGTGGAAGTTTTTGGCTTTATCATCTTTCATTACTGACAGTAACTTCCACAAGGAGGCCAAACCCACAAACTCGTTTGAAGAGACAAAACTTTATTGAGACAAAGAGACATGAGATGTGGTAACCAATGAAAATGAATTTCTTCCGTTCTCTAAATAAAACTACAAATGTTAGTTTGCCTAAAGTTAGATTGAGACAGACAGTCTCTTATTATTGATCAATAACAATCTCAATAACCTTCACCTCCGTCCTCGTCTGTGCTTTTATTTTGTGTTCGTGTCGATATTGAGTTCATCTGAACATATTGATGGTGGCTTTACAGACATTTATGTAAATATACATAGTACATAAAGTTTAGTCATCAGCATCACTATGGTAACGTCCGTCTCTCTGTTTAGGTCTGGGTGAATCGGGTGCTCCAGGTTCTATTGGTCTTCCAGGGGATAAAGGTCCTCCAGGTCCCCCAGGACCCATTGGTTCATCTCAGTCCGGCCCACCAGGACCCACAGGCCCCCCAGGACCCAAAGGTCTGTAGCAGTGTGATTCAGCCACCAGGGTCAGGATGTGACAGACCAGCAGTGATCCATCAGTTTCACTGATGGCTCTTTATGTGTTGCAGGACCACAAGGGGATTTGGGACCTCCGGGTAAACCTGGAACAGACTGTAAAGGTCCAATCCCAGGGCCTTGTGGACATCCTGGTCCTGCTGGAACGGATGGAGAGCCAGGGTGTGCTGGTGATGTGGGGGATCCGGGTCAGAATACTCCAGTACCTGGTGATGATGGGGACAACGGGGACACAGGGTGCCAGGGGCCAGGGGGCCCCCAAGGACCTCAGGGACCCGAAGGACTGCCAGGGATTCACGGAAATCCAGGACTGAAAGGTCAGACTACCTATCTATTGCCTCCACATGGCTCTCAACATGGCGACGGCTGAGCCAGCCCAGAGCTAATAGTGCTACCAGCGCAAACAACGGCGCCGACAGAGCTAACAGTGTTAATCTTTACAATCAAGAAGAGATGAAGATTCAAACCTCTCTTGAAACAGGAGTTTAGTTTTTACTCTAAACCTAGATTCAATTGAATCTGTTGCAAAACTTTAAACTCCAATTTAAACTGTATCAACTTCAAATTCACCCTCGAGGTTTAACGTTTACAATGTCTGCCTTTAAGAAATGCGGTGAGCAGAATAATCAAGTTCCTCGTCGACAGTAAAGGGACGGATTCTACCAGTTGAGTTTTATGACGATGCTGCTGAACTTCTCTTAAAATTTGGCCTCATTGTAAATTTTCCTCAAACGGGGAGAAATGAGAGCTTCTCTGATTAATGTTAGCCTAACCGTCTCTTTAGCTCGCTAGCTAGAAAACAATGTAGCGTTTGGTGAGGAATAGGTGATGTATTTATTTATTCTAATCATATTGATTAAGCTCTATCATTGTAGTTTAAACTTACTAAAGTGAGATTTGTTTTTAATTGTACACCTGATCCTTGCTTGATGTTGAATTCTATTCAAACCTGGCTTTGTTAAGATCTCGTTGGTGCGACCCGGCCAGCTCGTTGTTTTGCTGCTATATTAATGATCTGTTGGTCAAATGGAGAACCTTCACATGTAGACGTTGCTGCTGACAGCTTCAGGGTTCATGAGGAGTTGACTGACTCCTGAGATGAAACTAACCTTTGTAACTAACTACAAACTCTGAAACAGGGACAACTGGAGCAGGATTTAATTCCAGCTGATCTTTGTTACTTTGGTCACGGTGTGTCAGACACAAAATGGACTCCAAAGAAGGACGGGTATCGTTAGGAGTTTTATTGATTCTGCTTATCGGTTCGGTTCCTTGTCAATACTCTTATCGGTTATTTTTGATTATTTTGTAAGAAATTAAATACAATTAATTTAGAAAAGAATCAACATTTCTTTTTTGAGCAGCAACACAAGAAGTTCTAAAATTCATTATCAGCTAAATAATGATCTAAGTGATCATCTTTCATTTATGATCCTGTTATTCTGATCAAACTCTGTATATGACATCACTACCATATGACATCACTACCGTTACCTGACGGCTGCTCCACAGACTGATGTTCTGCTTGTTGGTCACATGTTGTGATGAACTTACTTGTGAGGGTTTTATTGTGTTTGAGACGACCAGAGTTCTCTCTGATCATGATGAGAGTCTCACGCTGTACTGAGAAGAGACAGAGTGAGAGAGAGACAAAGAGACAGAGAGACAAAGAGAGAGAGAGAGGACATTTGAGACGAGGACGTCTCACTCCAGAACTAAGAAAGTACCGACAGCAGAGTTACTTAGTTACATCTGTGTGTGATCAGGTATTCGGGGGTCTTCTGGGCTGATGGGACTACCTGGTAATCGGGCTCCTAGAGGCTGTGACAGTCCCGGTGGGCCTCCAGGACCAAAGGGATCCACTGGACCGGTGGGTCCAAAGGGGGAGATGGGACGAGTCTCATCCTGCCCAACTTACCCTCCTGCGACGCCGGGTCCCCCAGGACCCCCTGGCCCCCCCGGTCTGGAGGGAGATGTCGGCGTCAAGGGAGAAATCGGCCGACTAGGACCCAAAGGTGAGAAATAGTTGGTGGTCCAGGTCATGATGAATATTCATTGTGTAACACTCAGACCCTCTGCTCCGAAGAACCGCTTCCACCAAAGTCATCCCAATAAAATCAAATCCAGAACCACTTCAGGTTCATTTGCTTCATCAGAGACAGCAACCGAAAAGTCTCCAAAACATCTTCTGATGTGAAACTACAACCATCAGTTTTCTTCTCCGTGCTGCTGATCATGAAGGTGATTGACGATGTGTTTCAGGTAGGAAGGGGAACATCGGGTCCGAGGGACCCATAGGCCCCGAGGGGCCTTCAGGTCCAGATGGTGGCCGAGGAGGGCCGGGCCTGCCGGGGGAGAGCGGAGTTGTGGGAGCCAAAGGTGAGACCTGGACCCGTCTGTCTCTCTGACTCTGTTTGAGTTACAGTTGTGTGGATTTTGTTTTGTTGATGCAACTTCCCGTGGGCTTTGTGTCTCTCAGGTGATCCTGGTCCAATGGGTGACCGCGGTCCTCGTGGACCAACCAAAAACTTAAACTCGGGCTTCTTGTTGGTGTTGCACAGCCAATCAAAGACGGTTCCATACTGCCCACTAAACATGAGGGTCCTGTGGGTCGGATACAGTCTGCTGTACCTGGAGGGTCAGGAGAAGGCTCACACTCAGGACCTGGGTATATAAATAAATACATATATAAATAAATACATATACAGAATATATAGTGGACTCCGTGTGGACAACGTTTCATCAATCCTGGCTGAAATACGCACTATTTGCTGCTGCTTGAAGAAGTCCCAGATGTCCCATGAAACCTAAATATCGGGTAGAATGCATCATTGTATCTAAGCAGCCACACGTTATCTGCTTTACTGTTTGATCCCAAAACAAACAGCTGTTGCTGTGATTTAACTGTAATAAAGGAGCTGAAATAACTACATAATAATGATTTGTAAAAAGTCTGAATTCACGTTTTTTTTAGTTCACCCTGCAAGACGACAAGCTAAATTTTAATTTCAATTTTAAAATTTGCTTTTTTTCTGAATGGAGTTTGGTTTGATCGGTGCTAGGCTATGCTAACAGTGTAGCTCATGAATTTATATCTCATTTGTACTGATGATGTTTGCAGGTCAGGCGGGTTCGTGTATGCGGGTTTTCTCCACCATGCCGTTCTCTTCCTGTAACATGGGAACCTGCTCCTACGCCAGTCGTAACGACAAATCCTATTGGCTGTCGACGACGGCAGCCGTCCCCAGCATCCCGGTGGGTGGAGCCTCCATCGAGGACCACATCAGCCGCTGTGTGGTGTGTGAAGCCCCCTCTTCACCGGTCGCCCTGCACAGCCAGACCTCCTACCAGCCAGACTGCCCCCCAAACTGGAGGAGCCTGTGGACCGGATACTCGTTCCTCATGGTGGGTACTGCAGGGGCAGAAGTACTACTACTACAGTACTACTACTGCTGATGGTGCTACTACTACTACTACTACTACTACTACTGTTACTGGAGTCCTAAAAGTACTGTTACTACTACTGGTGATGGTGCTACTGATACTACTACTACTACTACTACTACTACTACTACTACTGTTACTGGAGTCCTAAAAGTACTGTTACTACTACTGGTGATGGTGCTATGATGAGGGTGATGGTGACGGTGATGATGATGATGATGGTGGTGGTGGTGATGATGGTGATGATGGTGATGATGGTGGTGATGGTGATGGTGATGATGATGATGATGATGATGATGATGATGTCATTTCCTGTGTTGCAGCACACAGGAGCCGGCGATGAGGGCGGCGGCCAGTCTCTGACATCATCGGGCAGCTGTCTGCCAGACTTCAGGGCTCAGCCCTTCGTGGAGTGTCAGGGGCCCCGAGGGACCTGCCACTACTTCGCCAACATCTACAGCTTCTGGTTGACCAGAGTGGAGACCTCCTCCTCCTACTCCTCTGACCATGACCGCGCCTCCTCCACCACGCTGACCGAGGGCTGGAGGCAGAGGGAGAGCATCGGGAGGTGCAGCGTCTGCATGAGGGAGTGAGGAGCAGAAGCACCTCCTCTTCCTCCTCTTCCTCTTACTCCCCCTCTTCCTCTTCCTCCTCCTCTTCCTCCTCCTCCACACGTGTCACAACCTTGATGTAGTCTCTGATTGGTTGGTGGCATTGACGAGAAGAACGCCTGAGTGAACTTCAAGCCCCGCCTCCAGAAGTGAAAACAGCCTTCTGATTGGTCAGCTGGGAGTTTGTGACTGCGTGTCATTGGTCAGTCAGTATTTTGTTCATAAGTCAGGAGAGAATTGTGAGAGAAGCTGTGAAGATATTTGACATTAAACCTTGAAAACGTGTTTTTGTTTTCCAGTTTTCTTTCAGACCGGACTGAGAAGCTCGACTAAATGTTCTTTATTCATGTTCTTCGGTTTCAGTGTAGTTACAGAACCAGAACCAGGACCATGCAGGACCAGAACCTGATGCTGTGTTTAATCTTAATAATTCAGTTCAATGAGAGTCGTCACTGCGTCTTTGTGTTCTAAACAAAGCTCAATGAATATTTATCTGTCTGATAGTTTCACAAACAAACTAAACGAAAATTTTTGAATTTAATTTAGCAAAAAATAATTTTGTAAAATCTTGAGTGGAGGGTTTGTGGGTTTTTGTGTGATTACAGTTCAGTGTGTCTGGTTTCGGTCCTGGTTCCGGTCCTGGTTCTGCATTATCTCTGAGATTTGTAAATATATTGGAACTCAACCGTTTTATATTTTTACTGTAAATGTCATCAGAGTATTTATTTAGCATGAAATTAATGTTGGTGCTATTTTGACGTTTCGTTTGTTTTATTTTTGGTAAACGATGACACGGTGAAACCCCGCCCCCTAATTTGTTGTTTATTATCTTCAAACACCTCCTTATTTCAAGATAAAACAAACACTTAACTTCTTCACTACATCTCCCATGATGCTTTGCTTTGAGAAGAGGCCTGAAGACCAAACACTTCTGTTACAAAGTGGACTTCAGCTCAGCAGTAAATCCTCGTTAATCTAAAACACCATCAGTCAGCACATTAAATACAACGAATCAAATGAGATAAACAGGTGTAAAGAAAGTGGGCGGGGCTTCATTATTACCTGAGGGGTGGGGGGGTGTCGCTTTGTCATCATATTTTTATTGTCGTTGATATTTTAATCTCTGTAGAAGGAAACTTCTCACTAACATTTGTGAAGCATTTTATTCTCTGTGGACAGAAAACTCTTCAATAAATCGCATCAATTTCACTCTCTCTTTATTTGAGTCCAAAGTTTAGTTTGTGAGAAATTAGTTATTAGAAAAGATATTAAAAACGATCCAACAGATATCAGTAAAATAACGAAAACGAAATCTGGAATCACAGGATTAAATGACTACAGACCCGTCGTCCTGACGTCTGTCCAGTGGTGGGCCGTCAGGGCCTTCAAGGCCTTCTCTGCTGGCCTAAACAGAATCACAAAGTTATATCTATTTTATAATTTAATAATTTTTCTTAAATACACTACATGTATTATAATTTATAAACATATTTTTCCCATTATCTTATGTTCTCATTGCACAGCTACTGTCTTCCTCAGTTGCTCTGCTTCCAGTGCAGCTTGTTTTAAGTAGAGCTTTTATCCAATCAGATTTCACCTCTGTGTCTCTAGGTAAGAACAGAGGCAGAGGCCTGCAGACTCACAAGTGAATCCATGTGCAGTTTAAGTGAATGGGGACGATATTGTTGATTGTCATAGTGTTCAACCAATCAGATCTTTAGTTTGACATGTTGGGCGTATTCTCTGTATCTGTCTGTTGTCTGTTCATGACTGTTATCCGTATCTGACTGTTGTCGCTTGTCTTCCTGCAGAGGGTTAGGTTTCGGGTTGGCGAGCAGCTTCAGGACTGTGGGTCTGGGTTGTAAGAGTGATAAACTGAAGCATGTCCAGTCCTTCAGGAGACAGGTGTTCATGTTCCTTACCTGTCCTTCACAGACGCTGGAGGTCTCCTTTAGAGTGAAGCACGGGGAGGGACACTACATGGTGTACGCTCGCACAGGTAGCATCAGGTGCTTTGAGTGCGGGGAAGTGGGGCACAAGCGGACCGCTTGTCCTCACAGGCCGGCCGAAAGGCACCCCGAGCCGGGGACCGTACCGGCGGAGGAGCTCCATCACACCGGAGCTTCGCTAAATGACGAGCCGGCGGAGGTCGCTGCTCCGCTGGGGGGCGATGACCCGCCAGCCGAGGCCGAGGCCGAGGAGGGGCTCAGCGGGCAGACAGACAGTCAGGACGGGGGACAGAGAGCTGATTCAGGCGGAGAAAAAGTTATTGATGAAGACTCAGCTGTTCTGAGTCTCACAACAGAGGGAAGGGAAGAAGCAGAGGAAAGGGAAGCAGGAGCAGAGGAAGGTATGAGGGAAGGTGTAGCAGGCAGCAGTAAAGGGCCGACAGCTGAAGCTGACCAGAGTCAGGCTGCTGGTCCAGAGGAGTGGGGGGGGGGGCTTGCGTTGTCAAGGAGGAGATGGAGTACGACTCTGACGGTCTCTCTGTCACAGACTCACAGTCTCACAGTGGAGATCTGTACAAGCTGGAGGAAATTAATAACTTCCTGGACGACACGTTTGGACAATCTGTAGACGTTTCAGACTTTTTTCCAGACACAGACAAATTATTAAAAGTGTTGTGACATTACAGAGAGAGGTGGATTTGGAGGATTTAGATGAAAATAAATGTTTCCGTCTAAAGAAGCTCGTGACGAGTCTCAGGAAGCTAAAGAAGGGAGATAAAGGGAAAGGTTCCAAAAGGTTAAAGACCTCTAAGTGAGTCAATGATGAATGTGTTGCACTTAATCTTTCTGTTACTGTTATTTCTAACTGTCTACATCACCGCTCTGTGTCATCTCTCAGTGCACAAGGTGAGGGTTGGCTCTTTAAATATTAGCGGTGGGAGGGACCGACAGAAGAGGGCGGTCACTGCAGACATGATCGCACAGAAACAACTAGACATCGTTTTCCTGCAGGAAACGCACAGCGACCCACATAATGAGGTAGACTGGGGTTTGTGGTGGAAGGGCCAGTATGTCCTGTCTCATGGGACCAACCTGTCTGCAGGTGTAGCCGTTCTGTTCTCACCTGGGCTGGATGTTAACATCATCTCCTCCACAGAGATAGTGACAGGCAGGGCTTTAGTGGTCAGAGGGCTCACACAGAACAGACATCTTCCACAAACTCAGAGATGTCCTGCAGCAGTGTGATCACAACGAGTGATTGGGGGGGGAACTGCAGCATAAAGTCCTTATTGGATAGAACAGGAGAGGAACCTTATTCACAGTCATCTGCCACCTTATCACAGGTGATGCAGAGTCAGGTGTGGTGGACGTATGGAGGGTCAAACATCCCTCTGTATCATTACTACTGTACATTATGTGTACCGCTTTCTTTTTAAATATTGCACACATTTCTGAATTTTAAACAGTTTTTATTTTACATTTTATTTATTTGTTCTATTCTTTGTTTCTATTTCTTGTTTCTGCACAAATACACCAAAGTAAACTCTTTCTATATGAAACCACTTTGTTAACGAAAAGTTTGGACGAAATTAAACTCAAACCACAAAAAGTTTCACTTTCATCAGAGACTTTTAAAGCTGTTTGAATAAAATATTTATATATTTATTTATTTATTTATGTAAAAGCTAGAAAAAGATACCTCCCTCCTTCACTTCCCTCCTTGCTTCCTTTCCTTCCTCCTGGGTTCTGATTGGCTGCTCTGAGGCTCTTTGGCTCTCAGCCAATAGGAGCAGAGAAGCTTCTAATCTCTGCTCCTATTGGCTGAGAGCAGAACGAAGCCAGTCGGCCGGAGTTCATGTTGAATGAGTGAAAACTTTCAATCAGCCAGAGACTCAACGCAGAGACCCCCACAATGCTCCGTGGTGGTCTGATCGATCCTCTCTGGTATCGATCCGCTCTGTGAACATGCGGCTTCCTCTCTGCTGCGTTTGGATTATTTTCACTCTTCACACCGCAGCTCAGCATCCTCCCGACCGGCCGGAGGGATCCGTGCAGCCCGGGAGGAGGACGCAGAGCACCGGGAGAGAGACACCGCGGCGCCTGGACGTCGGGAAGCCGGCGGTGGGGAGGGGATCCCCGGGGGAGCTCGGCGGCGGAGGGAGGGCGGCTCTGAACCGGTGAGAAAAAAATCAGAGTTTATGTTCGTTCAGTAACAAAACTACAAGAAATACTCAGAAATACTCTGGTTAGGTTTGGAGAAGAACGAGCTGATCAGTTTAAAGTGTATAATGATCAGCTGCACACAACATATCATATATTACATATATTCATATTTAAGATATAAATAACTATCCTGAGGGACATTTCTGTGCAGCAATATGTTAAATATATCTTCTAAAATATTTAAAAGGTTTAAGGTTGTGTTTAAAGTAAGTTTTAAATCACTTATACAATCAGTTGTCGGTCAATCTAAAACAGCATTCATTCATTCATGTAAATAGCGTGTAACACATACACGTGTTTCACTGGAGGTGACACAAAACAACTACAAAAAGACACAAAACAACTACAAAAAGACACAAAACAACTACAAAGAGACGCAAAACAACTACAAAGAGACCAAAGTGATTAAAAAAGGGACTCAAAGCGACTACAAAGAGACTCAAACTGACTACAAAGAGATGCAAAACAACTACAAAGAGACGCAAAACAACTACAAAGAGACTTGAAGCGACTACAAAGAGACACAAAAAGATTACCAAGAGGTTAAACAACTACAGTGTCTCTGTCTTGATCGTCTGTAGGACAAGTGGTGTTGCCCTTTCCTAGTCTGTGTCTCGGGGCCAGTTGTCTCATAATCCGCCCAAAGTTTGTTTCATGAAAATCCGTCCAGTAGTTGAAATATTTTCACTCAAACCACAAATATCGACCTGCTGGTGGCGCTAGAGATGAAAAGTCAGAGGATCAATAAAGTGTGTAGAATTCATCTCATGAATATCTGAACATTTAATGTCAACCTGTTTCAGTCCGGACAGACGGACGTCACGTTAAGCTCACCTGAAGATGATTAAAAACATTTTACCTTCCAGCTGTTCTCTGTGTGTGTGTGTGTGTGTGACCATAAAGAATCCGACCAATCTGTCAGACTGCAGACACCTCAGGAATGTGTGAAATTCTGTGTGTGTGTGTCTGTGTGTAACCAGCCTCAAGTGCAAGTCTGACTGACGGTCAAGTGATGGATGCAAAGTCAACACACACACACACACACACACACACTAATCCTAAACTCTGTGAACCTACTGACTGGGTTTAAACTGTGTGTGTGTGTGTGTGTGTGTGTGTGTGTGTGTGTGTGTGTGTGTGTATGTAAACAATAGATTTAAAGAGGTTTGTATGAGTGTGTGAAAAGAGAAAAAAGTCCTTCTTGACTTCAAAGTCCTGTTAACACAGACGGTTAACACACACTGATCTCGTTTAGGTGTCCTTGTAAGGACCAGCTCTGCTATGGGGACTCAGGTCGTGACCTTGTGACCTGCAACGCTTCACATTAATCTGCAGATGTCACGTCACCGCTAACGTAAACATTTCACTTTGAGTCTGAACTGATCACTGTTCATTCAACAAATGTGTCCTGTTAGTTTGATTCGTCTACACCAGGGGTCTTCAACGTGTTTCAGGCCAAGGACCCCCAAACTGATAGAGAGATGGAGCAGGGACCCCGACTATATATATTGTATAACATTGTGTTTTATATTAAACTGGGCCTAGTACCATGTATAAACATACCTCTTTATTGTGCATTAAATACTAAGCTATTCTAATAATACACAGGTTCATATATTCATGTTGTTATGTTAAACATGTGTAAGGTACAGTGAGTAGGGAGGCCGTGCC